TTCCTGAATGTCGCGGAGCATGGGTTTTGGCCCAAGCATAGAATACCGAGCCTTCTTTCCATAGCAAATAAGTAGCCACCCCCTCATGTCAGTACAAGAGCGTAAAAACGCGTCACAGAATTTCTGAATTTCAAAAGGAAAACACATGTGAATCATTCGCGAGGCTAATACGGTAATGCAATAGGGTACATCAAGTAAGGTTTGTTATAAAACAGAAGTGTGTTACACGGGTGTGGCTATATGTAATAGTATGTGCTGAAATTGGTTCAGTGATGCAGGACCTTAATAAATGCAACATATTAGAAGGGGAAAAGGGGAGTACCATAAAAATAAGTAATGAATAGCAAAGTACACATACCTTAGGAGTGTGTTTGTGGACATACAGAAAAGAGGGAGGGCAGTAGAGCTGCCTATATGTGCAGTCTGGCAGACAGGACTCGACATACACATGAAACAAACCTACAATCAATAGAAACAAATATAAAGAAGTAATACATGTGGGTAAACTAACAGAAGGTTTCGACGCTAGCACAGGTAGTGACTGGTGATGACACTAATGTGCCATCTGCAAGTGCTGGGGGTTAAAAGCAAAATACCAAGGTTGTGAACGTACCTGGTCTGTTTTGTGTGTTCACAGAACCAGTTGGAGTCCCAGCAAGATTTAAGGAAAATCCCAGATCATCAAACATCAGTACCTCAAACGTGAAGTCACCAATGTGACGGAGCAGAAGGTATGTGCCAGGTGCAACGTCATTTTCTGTCAAGAATTCAGCAAAGCCACTGGTGAAACAGAAGTCATCCACCTTGACCGACCAGGAAGAACAACCATAGACAAAGCGAGCATATAGCCTGGCATGCTCGAACAGGTGCCTATGCATGCATTGAGGGATTTGCTGGGCAAAATAAGTGCAAAAGTAATAAATTTCATTAATGTATAGAGGTATAATAAAAACAAATGAATATGCCAAGGATATGTGGTTAGGGAAGCGTACAGCAAATTCAAGGTCAGTCGGCTTTAAGAGAAACCAAACAACAGTGAATTGTAGGACATCTGGAAAATGAACTGATACTGAACGTGGGCACGCTGCAAATGTGTTAAAAGAGATGTAAATAAATGGTTAAAAAAATTAAGGTGGAAAAAGTAAATGATTAAATTATATTTTAAGGTTTGTGAAGGTCAGCTGCTAAGTTTTGATGGGAAATGAATCATCTGTTGCAGAGTCGTAGATAACATAGTAAGTTTGAAGCAGTTAGTTTGAAGGTTGAATGCCTTTTATGATGCAATACCTTTACGAAGAATAACTATTATATTTAATAATTTTATAATTTATTTCACATGTGTGGAGAATATGACGAATAACTATTGATGAACAAAAAGAGACCTTTTCCGTCGTTATTGTTACTATTTATTATATCATTCAGTTTGGAAGTTCATATATTTTATGCAGATGCCGAATACAGATTCAAGGTCCGATAGACAGCCTTACACTCTAACCTAAAGTATTTTATTTCCTGAACCTTTTAGTATCATTATATATACATGCAGACCACAGAATAAATGTAGCATGTATCATCTGGGGAAAACGCGTAAGCTTAATGAATGACAGGGAAATAATGCAGCAGTGGTATGGGAAATCAATGTTACTTGTGATAGCAGGCATTGAAGCACTTTGCAGCACATAATGGCCAAGCTTGTGTTCAATTTCTTCCCTGGATCGGAATTCTTTTGCCATCAGCCTGAAATAACCAGTAGCCCGCAAAAATTGCTTCCAATCTTCACTTGCATGGCAGTCATACTCCCCTTCATCAGCTTGGGTAAGCACAGCAACAATGATCTTGCGGCCATTCATTGTTTGTACAAAGTACGTCAATGTTTCTTTCCCAGAGGCATCCTTTGTAGAATCAACAACACAGCTGCTCAGCAAATCCATAGAGCTGCAAACATTTGGTTAAAAAGTGTTAAAATAAAACACGGAAAAAGGTGAAACACCAACAACAAACGGCCAATAAGTAATACACATGCTATTGTGTTCTTTTAATTTAGAAAGACCAAGCATGTTGCAGGGTTTTGGACACAACTATGCCTAGCTCAATACAAAAATTGAGCGAAAATATATGCCGATGGAGACTGTATAGAAAGGGGGAGGGGATGTATACGAGTTTGTTGCCTATCTGATGAACACAACTATGCCTAGTTCAACCCAGTGCATGTCCGGCTAACGCAGTGGGAAAAGAGTGAAACACAGGGAGTGTGGAGAAATGGATGGCGAAGACTTACCTGTGACGTGTAGACGATGAACGACCGGCGATTAGGCTTCTTGGCTGAAGAGCAGAAGTCTTCAGCAAAAGGGAGGCAGACAGAGAGACAGTATCCGCAGTTGGCATGGGGAATTAATAAAAAACAGGCGGCACCCTTGTTATATGCGCTGCGTCTGTTGGCATTTCAGAGGTGCTGTAATATTTTTTGGAGATTGATCGTGTCTTTATCTGAATAAAACAAGCTGTTTTGCAAAGAAAAGGATACATTTCAATACCCTTAAGAAGGGACGAAATGGTGAAATATTAAAATATGAATTTGGAAACATCAAAAAAGCATTTTGTATATTTTTCAGACTGTATTTAAAATGTTATTGTTTTTAAATCGATATGGGGTGTATGATAAATTTGTTTTATGTTCTTATCTACGGATAGTGAGATGAGGTGTATCTATAATAATTAGCACTAATTATTAGCACAGGTTGGGTGATATAGGTTTTAAGAAATGGAAAGAGTAGTTTTTTTTCCAGTAATATTCTAATCTATATTTTGTATAACACGCATTTCATCTGTTTTTAAATAAATGTAACGGTTAATATTTCACACTTGCCGAGACACAATTCAATTTTGCTCATTAATATAAATGATTTTGTATTAACAAAAAAGTTTAAAAAAAGCAGATTGTGAATATTTACAATGAGACAAGTTTAACAATTTTTTTTCATAAAATAAAATTGTTACATTAATAAATAAAACGTAGTCAAAGTAGAACATGTGAATAGTGTAAAAGCCAAAGTACTGCATTTATTTAAGAACGGAGGCACTATTTAATATTTTTTTAGGTTTTCGTAATTACCGGTTTTGGTTGTTTAGTCTTCTAATGTGATTATATTCTAATGTTTTACTCGGTTGTATTTTTTTTGAATTATTTTGTAGATATAAGTTTTTATATATATTATACGAAGTATGTAGTAATTATTTAATATAAGTCTTATTTTATGTTATCTGCACATTGTCTCGTAATTTTTTGAGCTATTTTTTTGGTTGAAATGGATGACTGGGTTTGAAAGTATTTAAAAGTAATAGAACTTTTATATATGATGGATGTATTATCAAGGGTATTAATTTATTTCTTTAACAAAAAAAGGATTTATTGACAGGTATAGTGTAGAAATGTTGTAGATAGTTAAACAGGTGTGGTTGTGGTACTCTAGTTGGTATTCTAATTTGTATGTATTTGTTAGGTTTTTATGTGTACACCCATATAAATAGAAAGTTCTGGCCTGCTTTAACAGAACTGAACTTGTATGTATACAATTCAAGTATACAATTCAAGGAGGTGAACATGGAATAGAGAATAGTGTGAGAAATATATAGATTTTTTTTGTATTTAAAACAAGGATGAAAATTAATAGGTGGATGCTTTATTAATTCAGTTATTTTTTCTATTTGAGATTGATATCTATTTAATTAATAAAATATAAGTTTAATGTGTTTTCCCCCTTAAAAAGATAAAAGGTGTATATTTTGTTTGTGTACCGTTTCAGGTTTTTTTTTTTTTTTTTTACAGTTGTAAAATGTGAGCTAACATAATTTTTAACATGTAGCAGGCTGTTTAAAAAGTGTTTACTGAAATAGGTAATCTTAATTGGGGAGCAAAACAAAGATGGGGACAACGTGGAAAAATCAAGACATGTTTTTTTGGAAATCGTGGCAGTTTTTATAGTGTATAAAGAGTGACAAGTTCAAATGTTCAATGAACAATATTAACAGGTACGATTGAAAATTAAACACAGCAAACAACAACAGAACAATCAGAATAAAAATAAAGTCCCAAAAAGCCTTAACATATAAGGACACTTTTGAAATAAAACAGATTTCTTACAAAGGCGGCTCCATGAAAGTGTGTCCATTATCAAAAACAAGGAAACTGCGATTACAGGCGACGGTTTTAGGGGTGTGTATATACATGATTTGAACGACCTACTAAACAGCGCGACAAGCGCAAACTTGTATATACATACAAACTACGGGACTGCCTGGATGCTCAGAGAGGACAAAATAATGGTGTTTAGTGCATCATCCACAGAGGTCAGGAAAACCGTTCCAAGAGTTACGCAGTAGGATGGAAGTTCAAGCAAAAAAAACAAAGCTTACTATGTACAGTGAGGACAACCCATTGCAAGGGTTGAGCACGCCTGTTAACCAACAGAGGTTTTGTCCCTCTTATTGCGAAGATTCGTAAGGGGTTCATCAGCATTTTCTTCACTCTGCAATGCCCTTTTAGTATTGGCAACACGTTCCGCAGGCGGAGTAGTGGTATCAGCCTCGAATTGGAGTTTCTTCTTGGAAGTAGAAGGAGCAGCAACAGCAACTTCTGACGAAGGAGGGTGTACAGCCACGCCAGGTACGGTCGGGACAGTTTCTTTGGAAACAAGCACAATAGTATAAGGATTCTTTTGGGCGCTGTTGTCGTTGATTTTTGAGCGCTTCACACCTGCAACAAGCATCAGCGACTGGAGCCTTTTGCTCAATTCATTGAAATCAATATCCATATCAGGGTCCATGCCGGTGAATTCAACAAAACGGAGAACATCACTCGTGAAAATTGTAACAGGAATGCAGCTGCTTATGTCATGCAGGGTGGCATTGCAGATAAAACTGGAACAAGTTTACAAAATTAGCAATGAAAGGAAAGAAAATAAGGTGTTGACGGATCATAAAGTTCATACCGTTTAACAGTGGTTCCTTCCTTCTGTCCACAGAATAGGCATTCAAACGGTATGCCGTCCGATCCGTACACTTTGCGATTACAGTAATCACAACCCACGTAGAAACCGTCTCCAGGGGTATCACTCAAGCTGAATGTTCCATACACCCACACCACAGGAACCTGTCGTAACAAGAGACTTGTAAGATAGGGAAACAAAGGAGCATAACGACACAGGTGATTAAAGTGAAGAGTAGACACCGGCAGATTGATGGAACTGACCTGGTTCAGACCAGTTTCTACAGCCGAAACTTGAAGGCGTGGCTGTGAGCCAGGGCGGGCGATGGTAGCAAGTGCATCTTCATGTTTTTTTGCAGTCAAAAGGCTGTCGATTTTCGCCGTGTTTATTGAAACCCTGCGAATGGATAAATATCTGGCAAGGTAAAGGGTAACTGGAACAGTAATAAAAATTATAGATGCCAAGTGAACATACCATTTCTTTAACAGGAGTGCGCGCTCCCCAGAGGGATCAAGTTCCATGTGGCTATCATGGCGAGTTGATAATGACAGGCCTGGTAGATAGTGGCGCAAGTTAGGAAAACAGTTGATAAACAAGGATATTAAAACTACGTTGGCAGCACCTAACCTTGAAAGAGGTTTATAGCGACCCTGTTAATTAACACAAGAGGACGGTCGCCTTTGGTGAGACGTTTCTCGATTTCAACACCGTGACGATCCACGAACTCTCCCCACATAGTAAGGGGCACAGGGGTGCAGCTGAGGAATATGTAAGTTAGGGAAGATTGTTTCATAATAATGCGCATAAAAAGGGGAGCGATAACAAATAAAAAGAATAAAAACAACGTACTCGTCATCAATTAGGACTACGTCCCAGGCAAGTTTCTGGCCATCATCTGTGACTATGAAGGTACGAGGGAGTTTGCATACAATTGCAGCAAGGACACCTGTAAAAAACAGAAGTTATAACAAAAAAACGGAAACAATGACAAAACAAGAGTACACCACTCCCAGGGAAAGGTTGGGGATTCCTTACTGATATTTTCACTATTTAAGTAGCATGTGTAAAACTCCCAGAATGGCGTAGTTCCTGCCTCTGCTAGCTGACGAAAATTCACCCTTTCTTCGGTTGGAACATCCTGGATCAAGGTTCTTCTCGTGAAAGACCAAACAAACTTGTACGAGTCATCAACACAATAGCGCAGCTCCGTAAGGGCCTTGACAAAAGCATTAGAGACAAGGTATGTTGAGTACAGTGCCAATCGCTGATCAATACCCGCAATGTCGCCTTGGAATGCTGTCGCTTGCACTTTGGTTCCCTGGAGAGGGGGGGGGGGGGGGTTGGATGGGTAAAGGTGATTAACAAATACCTGTGGACAAGGTTAGGACGTTACAAAGCAAATCAATAAGAGGGGTAACTTACAGTCGAGTCCATTAGAATCATAGGCATAAACTTAATAGGGGACGTTTTAGCCGTGCGGATGTTTTGTTTCTCAACAACAGTCACGCGGCAGGTCCATCGCTGTGTGTCGGGTTTAATATCTGTAATTGCAAGTTCAGCTGCCATGTCGGGAGTCACCTGTAGATGTAAAGGGAAATGGATAATGTAAATACCGCAGGTAAATAAAGGGTAGTATTAAATTTAAAAAGGGAAAAAGGAAAAAGGAATAGAAAAAGACTAACCTATATCTCTTGCCAAGAAAATAATCTAGTTAATGAAAGGCAATATCTCGTCGTAGACAATGTTGGATGTGCTATTACTAATCAGTGGCTGCTGGTCATCTGGACAGATCACAATTTTACATTGATATGGCAATCAAATTTTCTCAAAAGTTGTGCATTATAGGGAACCACCCACTTGTTATCTAGAGAATACTTTCTCACATTGACTGTGACGCCAGAAGCCCGTCTCCTGTATGTAGGGAAACAATTTTCATCAAATACAGTGGTAGGAGCAATTTCGCGCGGATACTTGCTTCTACACAAAGGTATCTCTGCCCCGCGGGCCAGAACCATGCACGGGCATTGAAGATTCATCAGGCCGCAAGGTCCATGGATCATATGCTTCTTTACAAGCAGATACAAGCCAGGGTCAGTGGCAGGGTCTGGAATCTCAGCAGTAATCAACCGATCACAATGTCCAGTTGTAGTGATCTTGCAGGGGTGTGCCAAGATAAGAAGGAAGTGGGCGTGGGGAAGGCCTCTTTTTTGGAATTCAATCACATATGTATACGCAACAACATTCCCAAACAAAGCCCCCTTTATTATGTCCTTTTTAAAGTCTTCCAGGCGAGCACGGAAAACACGGGCAACAAGTTCCGGGCGGTTCTGGACCTCATCCGCATAGGCAACCCTTTCTTTTATTTCAGGCCAATTGGGATTGCAAGTAATGGTTATGAATAAATCAGGTTTCCCAAAATTTTGCACAAGAGTCATCGCATCCATGTACCGGCCGCGCATATCGCGTGGACCACCTATAAACGACCCAGGCAGTACTATACGGCGACCAACATCACTTGTACTTTGCACACCTGCGCTAACGCTGTCGACCAAACCTTGGTATGTGGCAGAACGGAATTCGCGTTGTTTGCTGCGATAATAGTCCAAACGTTGTGTTTCTATTTTGATATATATATATATCTACTATGTACTGCTGGAATAGACGGCCTGTATGTAGGATGAATGAGGTATTCTGATGACGCATTTGGAGCTTGTATGCATAATATTGACGGCATGAAATAGAAGGTCGCTTCTTGCCTTGAACCCGCATATTTTCCTCACCCGCAATTAAAGCAGCATCGGTTTCAAACTGAGTACAATTGACAGAAACAGAAGCCTCAAACTGCTGACCATTTCTGGTACCAGATCGCATATTTTTCGGAATCCCTTCATGCCAGCCCACATCACCAAGAGGGAATAATAGAGGGTACTGCAAAGGGTCATAACACCCATAATAGTAATGGATGTTTTGCGATCCACCACTGTGTGCGTACACACGAATGCTCCGGTTGGATGACAAACCCTCATACTCGTCTTCAATCCACACAGCAGCAACTTCGGACGATGTTGGTCGATTATAAACCCGCTGATCGAGAGCAGGGTTGCCATTCAACACAATTGAAAATTCATCCGTTCTTTCAATGTCACACAAGTTTTTGAAAAATTGTGCGTATGGATTTGACGAAAGCACGTCCATTAACACTGTCACAACTGCTCTGTCTAGGTGATCAGTACTCAACAACCTATTAGTCAGAGCAGTGTCTGTGTCGTAAAAGTACAACTGCAAATTCCGAGGCGGACACCCGTCTGGGAGAATATCGTTGATGAAATGATAAATCTGCCCCTGGACCCTAAATGTATATATTCCTTGATTGCGACGGCACAGCTGTTTGTCATAATTGTAAATGCCTATTGATGTGAATGCAAACGTATTGTTATATGTCCGCACGCATGATTGAAAGTGTTTAGATAGTGGATCTCGCGCTGTGAATAAATGCTGCAATTTGGAAGGCATTTCAGTCGAGTTGAGGACAACCTCACCCCGACTACAACACATGGTGGGGGGTTCATATTGTATTCGTTCAGCTCCACAATACGAACAATCGGACACAGGTTTGAGCCTATAAGATGTGCGCCCACCACTGGGTGTACTTGGGCCTTCCCCAATGGAGTCCATACAATTAGAGGGATCTGCGACGTGTACATCGAAGTGCACAATGCACCACATTTAATGAGGTGAGGTAACAACCATAGGCGGCAGAGTAAAAAGGCAAACCACGCAACCAAGGCACCCAAATAATAAAATGGGAGTAAAGAAAACGTTTGCAGACCCGCCACAATGTGGGTACAAACCAACAAGGCATATGATTGAATTGACAAGAATATGGGATTAGGTAGGATGTTGTGGTTAACAGAAGGGGCGCAAGTGTTTGTAGACCACATATATGGGAGAAAAACACGTTAATGGAGACAAAAAAATTTTAGGGAAACAAGCAAGGGTATGAAAGGCAAGCGTTGATTTTCAGGGGTTAATTTAGGAAACATGCAAGGAAAAGAACGTCAGACATGGGTAGATACAGGTGAGGAAAGCAATTGAAGGTAGCGACGCAGCACTAAGTACACACCTGCCAGTTCGGTGTGAAATTGGGCGTGTTCAGAGGGCAGTGAAGAAGAGGGAACCGAAGCGCCTACATGTGTAGCCTTTCTCGTTAAATGTCGTCGCCTTTTCCTACGTGCCAGTTGTTCGTCCGGAGGCACAATGCTGCCAAATCCACCGCGTGTCGCCATTGATATGTGTGGTAGTCACACGAGGAGGGGAAAAACTCAACAGTTGACTTACACAACAAACAACACAAATAATTGGCCTAGTCAAAGCTAGACAAACCAAGAAATGCATTAAAGATATTAAACTGCCAAGGTGACAGCAAAATAAATACAGCACGCCGGCCACAAGCTGGGGGAAGTTATAATCAGAACACATCAGGGGAGGGGGAGGGGCGCACAAAACAATGTACCCCATCCAGGCCAGCAAAAAAGAAAACAAAAAACCAACGTAATTGAAATGCAAAGGAAACACTTCAAAGCACTTACAGGAATAACAAACCAGGAGATTCCAATTTGAAAATAGAGTTCCCGAGTACCTAAGAACAAAGTAAACAAACAACGCACAAATATTATCAGTGGGGAAACAACACATTTCATACAAAATGATAACCACCTTGCCATCCACAGCCAAAGCTAATGACACACAAAGAGAATTGTTATTAGTGACAACAACGCGAGGTACGCTACAAATAGAATTGTTATTATCGACACACAAAGCTGAATCTAAGATTACTGTTTAAAATACAGGTACGGCACAAGGAATCATAACAAATCAGGTAACAACTGAACATCAAACAAAATCCACAGCCCAAACAAATAACAAGTTGTTTGCAAAAGAGCCGTACAAGTGTATTGGTAGTAACACAGCAGTAAGTTTTGGCAAGAACACACAAGGATTAGTTACAGCAAAACACATGTGGGACAGAGTGCACAGTGTTTCCATTTTGTGTTTTTGAATGTAAAAAAATATGATAAAACAGTGGTCTCATTTTGTGTTTATAAAACAGTACTACTTAATTTCAAAATCTGCATATAAACTTTAGAATCAAATTACTATGAAATAGTTTGAACCAAACCATAAATGCTGGCTTTACTTTTCATGATAAAACATGATTTCCAATGGCCTCCTGAATAGATTGAGAATGAACGTAGGAGTATTAAATTTAAAAAGGAGTATTGTAGCAGCCATATTACTATATTTGGTACTACAATTATATATCAATTGAAACATTTAAAACTTGAATGTACGAAAGAACATTCAGATTATAAAGCGAAAGCTTTATAACCATACTAAAAAAATAAAGCGCAAACTTGAATGTAAGGTGCCTGCAATTGAAGTAATAAGATACTAAAGAAAATAGGTAGATTGATCAAAGAAAACCATAAAACAAACAAAAGAGAAACTATCATCAGATTATAAAAGCATTTTACAAAAAAACTCTTATCTGTGAATATGTTTAATTTGTATGTAAAAGAAAAACTATCATAAGATCATAAAAGCAGTTTACAAAAACAAAAGAAACCTTCTGCAAATGTTTTAAGGAAAAAATTGGAAAACATTAAGACAGCCCAAACACACCAAATTTCAAGTGTTGAGGTGAAACAGAATTTACCTAACCAACCACAAGTCATTGGATACAAAAGCCTTGCTCATTCAGGAATTACGACCAACCCATAGCGACCAAATGGTAAGACAAATCCAAAAACACGAAAAACACCAAAGAACACACTGAAGGAAACCAAAGAAGAAACAGAAGCTTACAATTCGGAAGAAAATC